CTTTTTTTTTTTATAAAAATGAATATAACTGACAGTTAAGAACACGCAGTGAAACCATAAAAACAAAGTTTTCCTGGATCAGAACAACAAACTGCACAACAATAGACCTCAATTTATTCATTAACTTTTTCTATGAATCAACAAATTTCCATTCTAAAAATTTTAATGAACTGTTTGAATATTTAATTATAAATTCTCTCCATCACTACTTTAGGATCCATAACTTAGAACAAAACAACACATTTAAAGCCCAAACGGACCAGCGTTCCAGGCACTGAGGTTCTGATCTGAAACACTAACCGACATGTTGTTGTGGAGCTGTTACCACTGTTTGTCCTCCAGTTTATTGCACCGCCCCGCTCTTGTTTGCTTCCCCCGCCTTCGTCCTTGCGCTGTGATCTTTTTGTTCTTCACTTTCCCTCTCTGCATTCATCTCATTACCTTTCATCTCTCCTCTCTGTCATCTTCCTCTCCACTCCATTCCTCTTTGTTGTCTCCTGCCAATATGAGACAACGTCTTCCATTCACATCTGGTACCGTGACCTTTAGTCCTAATGACCTTGGGCCATGGTACCAGTCCATGGTAGACCATCATGGTCTTATATTTGGTATGTTCTCATACTGATTAGAAACATTTTATTATTATCACTAACAAGTTAGGAATTCGGAACTCCTTCTTAGTTGTACATTTCCAATATTACTAACCACAAGTGAGTGTTGAAGAGAAATATGTTGAAACTCTGTCCAGTGTGTTTTGGTAGAAGAACCTCTTCACGTTCTTTCCTACAGTCACTGCTGCAGTGAACCTCCCTCCAAACGCCGGAGATCTCCGGGAATTGGAACTCCTGGAATATTAATGTATTTCCTGTAAATTTTTCTTTCCCACCGTTGGGGGCTAAACCAGAGCACACACGCCCGTGAGATGTCTGTCCGGCTTCAGTGAAGTCACGTACAAACACACTCACACACACACAAATACACGCTGGAGATGGAGAGGAAGCCGATCACAGCTACGTGGAGGGAGGCGAGGGTGGGGTGGTGGAGGGGCGGGGGCTCCAACGGGACTAATTAAAGTTAAGGAACAGACTGTGGAATTCCTCGGAGACCACGTCTCTTTCTACCACTCCTTCTCTTTTCTGTCTCCTTCTCTTTTTGTTTCTCGGTGTTTGCCTAATTAAGGCTACATCATCCAGGGTCAGTGGATGCAGAATATTTGAGCTAATGTTTAGGAATGGGTGCAAGAAAACAGAGACTGGGATCATCTTTTTTTTCTTCATCACAGACTGGTTTGGGATTTTACTTCCATCAGGGTCTCCAACCACTGAACCACGGAGCGGTACCAGAATGTGAATCATTTGACACCGGATCACAAAAGAAAGAAAAAAGTTGTTTTAAATGATATTACTTTCAACAGCTGATCTGCTGCAACAGGCTGCCCCTTGGTGGCGCCAGGTATGTGATGCAGAAGGTCCTGGGTCCTGGCTCAAACCCAGGACCTTCTGCGTGTAAGGCAGGCATGCTAACCAGTGCATTATGGAACCACTAAAACTAAATATATAAATAAAATAATAATAATATATGTATTTTATTTTCATTAGCCGTATGGGTATTTTATTTTGAAAATTACAACTTTTGTAATTAATTCTCCAAAAGATTCTGAATTAGAGTAAGTTGATATCACTCTGTATTAATTACATTATTGATTACCTGACTGTTAAATTTCATTTGATGCACCTATTAATACTCATTACACTGTGATGCTGACTGGAAGTGTAAAAATAAAATGTAATTAATCTAATCCAATGGAAAAAAAAATCTTGTTTTTAAATCAGAAAACTGTGAATATAACAGTGGAGAAAGAGAGATCGAGCCACAACTGACAGCTGCCCCTGACATGGAGACGGGCGAGGACGAGTCTTTCCTTTCTACTGTTCTAGAAAAGGTGTCTCGTTTCTCAGGGTTGGATTTCCACCACTACTCCCTTTAACTCCAGTTTCAAAGGGCAGGGGCTAAGTGGTAGGAGTGAAAATGACAAATGGGATGAGGTTAAAAGGAGAAGAGTGCCGGCAAATGATGGCAGAAACGACAAACAGAGACAATGAAGCATATAAAGTTTATGATGCCGTGTGTGTGCGTGTGAGAGAGAGAGAGAGAGCAAGAGAGAGAGAGAGGCTGATGCCCTTTAACCAGAGAAAGCCTCGGCTCAGCCTCTCTGGTTTTGTAGCTTTTCCCTGCAGCTCTAGAAATGCCAAACCACCTGACTCACACAACCAACTCAGGGGCAAACGCACAAAACAACCCCAAAACCAAAAACCGCTCACACCGACACGTGCAGGTCTATGGTATAAACACAAATACATGTGCACGAATAATGACATCAGCACATACCTGATGCAATCTGAACTCCTGAGTATTTTCCTATTTATTCATACACATTTGAGAAGTACTTCACGGTAATATTTGTAAGATTGCGGCCGTTCTTGCAACAAGCTGCTCTAACATTTTGTTCAAAACCTCTTAGCATTGACAAAACACTGTGAAATGTAAAGTCTTGTTTAGACTTTCATGAGTCTCGATGGCGCTGACCTGCAAACACACTGTCAACGAATGTCAGTGTGCTCTGAACTGGAAGGGGTTCAAAGACGCCTGTCTACGAAGGAGAAGAAATGATAAACCTTCAGCTGTGGATACTTCACAAACCAGAAAGGAGGTTTTGAACTTGAACATATGAATTTCATGTTACACATATTGTGTATTTAGCAGTGATTATTAAAAATGAATAAGATGTGGAAAGTGCCTTTAGATCTCAAACAGTGTTGAGTACGGCATACCATTTTTTTTCTCTCTGTTATTTGTTGAAGACTCCTCCACAGGGGTCGAGAACCACGTGTTTGTCTCTGTGGTCCTGAAAATCTGCTTGTACTGCACCGTGAAAGCCAAATCTGCACGGCCAGTTTTTTCCCCAGAGAAGAACAGGTTTTTACCAGAAACACATCTCATGTCTGGTGCTTAGTGCAACACAGAAAGCTAAACATAGCCTAAGGCTTAATGTTTACTCCAACGTGGACCTCAGACGGCACAACCACACAAAGAAGATAGTATTTCTTCCGCGGTGTGTACTGCTGAAATAGCAGTACTACATTCAGAGTTTCTTCTAAACCCTCAGACTCAACCCATTCTTTTCCTACAAACTCGTCTTTTCCTGCTCAGTGGATCTCAGTGACGTACACACACTTATACTTTCTCTCCTGCTGTTATTTTTTTGTGCATTTATATCCTCCACCCTTTCACCTGGTCCAGTGTAGTTGACTGTGATGGATTTATTTTTTAGTACTTGACATTCTGAACAATAACATCAAGTACTAGAATGTAAAAAGGAAGTATTTTGGAAAAATAAAAGAGGCTAAAGAATTCGCGTCAAGTTGGCGTTGAAAAATGTACAATTTGAAAAATGCTTACTGTAAGTCTGACCTGTAATACTCTTATATTAATACTGTTATACTTTTGTGTCATCATTTTTCAACCTCTTAAAAAACATTTTATCTCCCAAATCTGTTCATTCTGATATTTTTATTTCTCCTCATCATCATTTCTCCTCCGTCTCCCTTTCTCGTGCTTGCAAACTGAATTTGTCTTTTGAATATATTGTATTTTTCTAAAGCAGCTTAGACATGCAGTAGATGAGCCAGGAAGTGTTTCACAGTTATCTTATTAAACTCCAAAAGCCGGCGTTATCTCTGTGTCACCGCCGCGCAGTGATTATGGGTAATCAGAGCCACAAACACCTGACAAACAGAATACTGTGTGACAAACGTTTACTGTATTTCATGATTCCGTAAACTGTAAATTAACTGTTTAAATTTCAGGTTTAACACGGCAGGTGGAAAAGTCGTGGATTTGCATAAGTCCATAAACACGTGGTCCAGGGTCTGGGACCGTCATATTCTTCGATCCAACCAATAATGAAGATGTTCAGATATTTCACAAGGGAATAAAGATTTTGACCTTTAACTAACATCAGACGAAAAATCTGTGGATCACTAAAGTCATTTGGTAATAATCCTCCGGGGGCTATGAACGTCTGAGCAAAATGTCACCGCAATCGGTTCTATAGCCACTGAAATATTACACTCTGTGCTAAAGTTTTGGATGGGTCGGCAGGAAGACTGATCTCCAGAGCCGGGGAAAATACAATTCAATGAACAACGTCTGGTGTATGAAAAATTTTGTTTATGATTTGGTCCAACGGAGTTGTTTCTTTTTTTTGACAGAATGCGGGAGCGAGGTCCTTGCATTTGCGGAGTGGGTGTGTGGAGTCTGCTGCTGTCCCTCTGTCTGGCCTCCCTGACGCAAGCACACAGGAGTCACACAGGTGAGAAGATGTGTGTGTGTGTGTGTGTGTACTACTCTATTTCATGTGTGTGTGTGTGTGAGTGTTTTCACAACACATTCCAGTTGGTGGACCTATCATAGATTACCACTGCAGGCAGCTTCTACAGCCAATTTCGTTTCCCATATTGTAAAGTTGGTGGGGTTGGTGGGGGGGGGCCTTGTGAGTTATACCACAGGGAACACAGAAGCCAGTAAAATATGAAAGCGCACCGGCAGTTTGGCAGGAAGAACACACAAAAAAAAGTTCTTTACAAGAAGGAACTGGAATAAAAGTAATCCAACAAAGCAAGGTCTTCTCAGAGCTGAGACTTTTAAGTCCTCGCTGTCCCATCAGTGTCTGGGAAACGTCTGTACTTCACCGCGCAGGCGGCGAGCGGTGAGCCTGATGTGGCAGAATGACTAGCGGGACGGCGCCCAGAGGCGTCTTACTACTTTATAGTTCATTTCTCATGTGACAGTTGGGTATCTTTTGCTCTCTGGTTAACAATGATCACCTGTGTGTGACACAGAAAATTGCCCATCGTCTGGTGGAACTACTCAGAGAGAGAGAGAGAGAGAGAAAGAGAAAGAGACGTGGATTTGCATAAGTCCATAAACACGTGGTCCAGGGTCTGGGACCGTCATATTCTTCGATCCAACCAATAATGAAGATGTTCAGATATTTCACAAGGGAATAAAGATTTTGACCTTTAACTAACATCAGACGAAAAATCTGTGGATCACTAAAGTCATTTGGTAATAATCCTCCGGGGGCTATGAACGTCTGAGCAAAATGTCACCGCAATCGGTTCTATAGCCGCTGAAATATTACACTCTGTGCTAAAGTTTTGGATGGGTCGGCAGGAAGACTGATCTCCAGAGCCGGGGAAAATACAATTCAATGAACAACGTCTGGTGTATGAAAAATTTTGTTTATGATTTGGTCCAACGGAGTTGTTTCTTTTTTTTGACAGAATGCGGGAGCGAGGTCCTTGCATTTGCGGAGTGGGTGTGTGGAGTCTGCTGCTGTCCCTCTGTCTGGCCTCCCTGACGCAAGCACACAGGAGTCACACAGGTGAGAAGATGTGTGTGTGTGTGTTCTACTCTATTTCGTGTGTGTGTGTGTGTGTTTTCACAACACATTCCAGTTGGTGGACCTATCATAGATTACCACTGCAGGCAGCTTCTACAGCCAATTTCGTTTCCCATATTGTAAAGTTGGTGGGGTTGGTGGGGGGGGGCCTTGTGAGTTATACCACAGGGAACACAGAAGCCAGTAAAATATGAAAGCGCACCGGCAGTTTGGCAGGAAGAACACACAAAAAAAAGTTCTTTACAAGAAGGAACTGGAATAAAAGTAATCCAACAAAGCAAGGTCTTCTCAGAGCTGAGACTTTTAAGTCCTCGCTGTCCCATCAGTGTCTGGGAAACGTCTGTACTTCACCGCGCAGGCGGCGAGCGGTGAGCCTGATATGGCAGAATGACTAGCGGGACGGCGCCCAGAGGCGTCTTACTATTTTATAGTTCATTTCTCATGTGACAGTTGGGTATCTTTTGCTCTCTGGTTAACAATGATCACCTGTGTGTGACACAGAAAATTGCCCATCGTCTGGTGGAACTACTCAGAGAGAGAGAGAGAGAGAGAAAGAGAAAGAGAGAGAGAGAGAGAGAGAGCTCGGTGTAGCGGCTGCCTGCACCTGACAGCTATTTCACCGCTAATGTTTAGATATTAACCCACATGAGGTGGAAACATAAAAACAATTACACTTGTGTGGTTCTCGCACTAAAACTGCACGTGCTCAGTACACACCGACTCACAACCAGACACAAAAACGAGACACATTATTTTTAATAAAGTTTTTTTTTTTAAGTTTTAACTTTTGAAAATACTGCTTTAATTAAGCATTTCCTGGGAGTGAAGTGATACAGTAAAAAATATACCAACGAAAACAGGGGAGATGCAGATGAGGTAAAACAAATAATTGTGTACTCTGTAAAATTCTGTGTACTTTTCCTTCAGTTTGACCCATTCTGACTTCAGTCCACTGTTGTGTTACTTCTACTCCTTCTTCCTCTTGTCTCTTTACAACAACAACAAAAACCTTTGGGCACAGATTACTACCCACGTTCTTAAGTTCTTTCAAAACATGTCAGTTCTGACACTGAGTTGCTGCTATTTATGCTCAGCGCTGCCCAAGGTAAATATGTTTGGTGCAATGAAATATGGACACGCGCCAGTATTTTTGTCTCTTTTCAACAGACTTATAATCATCAATATTGTGCTGTAAAGATGAGTCTGGCGCAGTGACAACACCTGGCCTTGATGCTAATAATAAGCTGTCAAATCGATTTCAAGAAAAGTTGGCCCAGTTTTGGAAATGGGAAGAAATATCAGTAAATGTACTCTTGGTGTTCAACTCCAAACTTTGTTTTCAGAAGCAAAAAGGCAGTAAATCATTTAGTGAAATGTGACTAAATAAAAAAAGAAAAGATGAATGAAACACTCTGCAGCTAACAGTCTGTATAATTCTTTAATAAATAGGTTAACGTTGTAAAGGTTTTCACGTACCAAGATTGGGCATTAAACTAGCATCATTTATTATTATTATTATATTATAGTACAATA